CAAAAAGGAAAATAAAGAGGGTGGTCGAGGTTCATCACCGAGTTGTGTCAAAGGAAAGGTGAAGGAGACCCTCTGCAGTAGGGTCTTAGACACATGGGGAGGGGGCGTGCTATCGTTCCGGCGCTTGAGGTCGTGAGGGGGGGGGGGCATAGGTACCCATGGAGTCACCGGTGTAGATGACTGTGATGACTTCTGGAGATAATCCGGTGAGGTCAGGAGAGTTGGCTGAAGCCGAATCGTCGTTATGCCCGCCCGCAGGGGCCATAGCCTGCAGAGAACACCAGCGAAGAAATGTAAAAGGTCACCAAGCCATCAGCGGAGCGAACTTAAGGGTGGAACTCCGATGGAGCGCGCTAGGCGCCCATCACCCATCACTTTGCGATTTCGTGTATTTACGCGTGAAACTCGGATTGTGGTTGACATGTGGGATGTTGAGTGACCAATAAATATGATTTTGCATTTTATTAATGTATTTCGCGTGAAATTAGCAGTCCAGTAGGGGAAATGCAATCTGCGGCGTTTGAGTTGGCGATGTTGTGTCACTCGAGTGTTGCCATCTAGCGGACGCGGCAGCGAGTCGGTGCGGTGGCGGTGGCGGTGCACTAGCAGTTGTTTGTGTTGTCGATGTCCACTCGGTCGGTCTTCAAACCATATATCCTTTTCCGTCGTTGTCAGTTGAAGCCATGTCAAACCCCCTTCATGGCACAAAATTCGTGAAGTACTATGTGCTTCTGAACGTATTGGCGAGGAGGACTGGTCGCCATTTAATGCCAAGTGAGTGGGGTACGTTTGTTGTCCAACCTCCGTACATTTATTTATTTATTTATTTTCCCGCTGTTACAATTTTGTCAATTGTCACATTGTCACATAAACAACTAGTAGAGAACTAGCACATGGAAGGAAAAATAAGATACATGTACATCCGGTGCAAATACAAAATACAAATGCAAAATGTGTACATACATACTCACTCAAATTTCTTCTCAAAGAGAAGGTACATAAGAATGCAAATTTATCACAGCAAAAAGTAAAAGGGGGGAATTAAAAACATTTAGAACATAGAGAGACAGTTAGAGATCACTCAATTCATAAGGTTCTTGTTCAATAAGATAGTATTTAACTAGTTTTTGGATTTTTTAAATAATTTTGAGTATTTTTGATATGGGTAGGCAAACCATTTATATATTTACAGCCCACGTGCAATGGGTTGTTTTTAGAGAAAGTTCCGCAAAAAAAAAACTAAGTAATAATCATCTGAGTTTCTAGTTCCATATGAATGTACATCTTTATGACATTGAGTGCTCTCTTTTTGTAATCTGGCATATTGTATACACTGGTTAACATATATAGCCGGGAAAGTCATTATTCTAAGTTTCTTGAAAAGTCCTTTACATCTTTCACCATAATTCAGTACTGACATTATTCTTATAGATTGTTTTTGTAGCCTTAAGATTTTAGTAATTTTTGCATTGGAGGAGTTACCCCATACTAGAGTACCACAACTTAGATGGAAGACTATAAAAGCATAGTAAATTTTGAGTAAGCAGTCTAGACTGAGACATTGGGATGTTTGTTTAAATAAATAATTTCCTATCCTTAGTTTCTTAACTATGTGCTCAGTTTGTTCTGTTGTATACTGGTGGTAAAGGATAAAGGAGGCGAAGAGCGAGTTGGACTTAGACTGTTTATTGACGTAACTAGGGAGCTCGACAACTAACAGTTCAAGACTGGGCAACCGGGGCTCGGCGCGAGCCGCTTATATAGGGAAAACCAAGAAGAACACAAGAAGAAATGGGCTAGTAGTAGTAGAGGGGGTACAAGGTATCGGAGGAGTATGGTCTAGTTTGGTAGGGGTCCTCTGAAGAGTATGGACTGTCATGGCGCCATGCATAGGTCTAAGCAGATTAGGTTAAGTTTGTTTATAATGTATTTGTCTAATCACAACACCATACCTCCCTTTGAAAGATTTCCGAAAAGGTCCGATACACTTTAAGAGTAAAGTTTTCAAGTTGAAAATTGAGTGTCAAACGAAATTTTTGAAGTTAAAGCATAAGATTTAAACCATGCCCATTGATCTATAATTTCTCTAGCCTTATACATTACAAACAAGTTCAGAAAGATCAGATATTTAAAGGTCCTTAGTTCACAAATTGAAAGTTTAAGAATAGCAACGTTAAACAAAACCAGAGATTGAAGTTAAGCAATCGAGTTAAACAGAAATAAAACCGAAACAACATCTTGGCAAGACTCGAATTAAACTAGTCAATAATCAAAAGGTTCACAAGTTAAAGTTGCATCAAAACGTTGCAGTATTTCAAACAAGAATAAACGTTAAAAGTTCAGTAAGTTTCACTTGGTTTAGCACTGGTGAGAGTCTTCGTTCTTCGCAAGAAGGTCTGGAAAGTATGAACTCAAGTCCATACACACAGCGTGTTGACCCAGGTTTGTCAGACCATGGATCGCAGGTACTCGGTTCACAAACAAAAAGGAAAATAAAGAGGGTGGTCGAGGTTCATCACCGAGTTGTGTCAAAGGAAAGGTGAAGGAGACCCTCTGCAGTAGGGTCTTAGACACATCGTTGCTGACCACTTGAAAGGACTCGACCAAAGTGGGTTAGTTGGGGTGAGAAAACTGCAACAAAAGAAATAGACAAAGCTTTGAACAGATAAATTATCCTGACTAATCTTAAACTTAGTCACTTTGTATTTGGAAAGGGGATGCCAGAAAGTTTCCCATTGGAAGCACTATTGATGACGTCTCAAACCGACTGGCAAGTTTTGTGCCTATGTGGATGTGATCCTGGATGCAGACTGGTTCGTTTGAAAAGCCTCCCTGAAACCACTTCCAACGACAAGTCTCTTCAGTTTGAGAAAACGTGGATGACTGCATAGCACAGAGAAGCCTTGTATCCCCATCTGAAGAGAAGGCTCGGATGTGAATTCCATGTTCAGCTGCTGTTTTTTTCATCCACTTCCACCGTCTATCAACCTGAACCTGAACAGCAGTGAACCGGTTGTTGCTGCCAAACAGGGCTAGAATGAAATGTGGCGCATCATTAACCAGAGGTTTGGCAACAATAACGTAAGCATTACTAGGTAGATGTACGCCAGACCACGTCTCGCGTAACAGGCTTCGCGATGTCTCACGAAACACTGTAACGCTGCGTCGCGCCTGGCATACATCTACCTAGGCCTGCGGCGCTGACAGCCGAGTCGGGTAGTGGAAAAATGTACACAAAGATACGGGCCTCCGGCCCGTCAACTTCCCATCACTTCGACTAAGCATGCAGGGTTGTACATTTTTTCGCTTATTTTCGTCAAAAACTCCCTCCGGCGCCTAAACGGTTAATGATAGAGCCAAACGGACGAAATTTTCGCCCTAAGGGCTCTACTTTGATGAGTTACCCCTTAGAAAACATTAAAAAAATATTTTTAAAAAAACATCATTTTTGGGACCTGTGGTTTTTGATTTTTTAAAAATCCAATTTTTGAGCTAGAATGCTCTTCTTCGAACTTGGTCTGTCTTTTTATGACACAAAACGACCCTGAAAATCCCAGGTCGCTAGCTCAATTTGTTCTCGAGTTATCGTGCGCACAGACAAACACACAGACACACAGACAGACAGACGCGAAACTTTTTGATCATCACTGGAGTAATAGGCTTCGCTATCGCTCAGCCAATTACTGCAACAATTTTCTTCAAAATGCTTCTTAATGATGGCAGCTGATGTTGCAGGAAAATGCCCTACCACAGGCAATCCGTCATTGCCAAGGGGCGGCACATGACCAACAACCTGATTTGTTGCTCGGTTGGACTGGACTCGTTGCTGAACCCTTGTCCCATCTTCACTGATTACAACCTGCATAGGTAAGCCTCGCTCTTCAAGGAACTTCTGTAATTCAGCAAAGCGGAACAGACCTTCAGTAGGAATTTCTTTGCTTGCAGCGAGTACTCTCTTGAGAGAGGATATGGAGGGTACGGCCCTAGGAGCATTTAGCTTCAGGATGGAGTAAGTCTTAGGACCACTCAATTGAAACAAATAACCAGTTATATCCTTGAGCTCATCAACGTACCTGTACCCTCTTCTTGTTGAGATTGGCCTTCTCAGTGTTTAGAAACAGTTGAAGTAGGTAGCTCTCTGTCGGTTTGTTATCTTTTTGGAGCTGTTCAACTTTGGAGGTGAGAGCTTCCAGTTGCAGTTTTAAACAGTTGTTTTCTTGGACAAGTGTGCGTTTAGTTTTTGGCTTTTGATACAGTGCGACGCTTGGAAGAAGTGCGCTCCCATGCTGCGAAACCTCGGGTTCAGCATGCAGAAGTGTAAAGAAGCCATCTCGCTCCCTAAGACCCGATCCCAATTCTAGACGAAGACAACCAGGACCTGACTGATTTCCTTCTGGCACTGGAGAAATGCGCGGACGTGCCCGCCGGATGCCTTTCAACTATTAAGAAACATCTGACTCCAGTCGCAGAGGAACCCCGCCGGATCCTCGACTTGAAGAAATTGGTGACGGACGAACTTCTTGTCATCGACTTTAACCTCCAGGTAGGCTAGGCAGGCAGGGACTATGGGCGGGGGGTGGGATGGCGATGGGAACGAGTAGGTAAGGGGCTGGCAGTCGCGGACGGGTACGGGTCGGGTGGCAAGCGGGCAATGCGCGGGGCGCAGGCAAGGGGGGGGGGGAGTTGATGGCGCGGAAGAGTGGGCACCGGGCGGGAACGGGCGGGACGGGAACGGCGGTGGTGCAGGCCGCGGCCGCGGGGGCACCGGGTGCGTGTGGGGACGGACGGGGCGCAGCGCGGGGCGTCGCAGCGCGGGGCGCCGGCGCGGGCGGCCGGGGGCAGGTGCCTACGTGAAGAGATTGACATTGGGCGGGGATAGGGGTGAGACGGGGGTGGGCAATTCCGGGCGCGACTAGAAGTGATGTATTTTATGTTTCTGATTTTAGATGAAGATTTGCAAAGAGTTGGTCACATACCTGAGGTCCTCCGCCTACGGCTCCGTGTTGGAGAAAAGAGTTCACCAGGAAGTGGAAACCAGGTGGAACACGGTCCACAAAATGCTTGAATCTGTGCACCGCAACTTTGAGGGGGTATGCAGATGTCTTTCTTCGGGTGGGGGAAGGGCTCACTATTTATTTATTTTTTTTGTCATTAATGATTCTGTTTTCCTAGATTCAACGTGTTCTGAAGGAAATTAAACAGGAGGAGAGAATCAAGGACATCGACCGTAGGCTGGTGGAATGGTTGATGAACTTCTTGCAGCCCTTCAAGGACGAAACTAAGAATGTCGAAGGGAACGACTACCGTACTCTCCCTCTCGTCCTTCTTGCCAAGTGCAACCTGGACTTTGCCTTGGAGCCGGCACTGCTAGATACTCCTGCTCAGGCTGCGCTGCGGAATAGGGCAGCGCAGTTTAAAGTGACCATGTAGCACAAGATCGCGACATTTCTTGTCCCAAAGTTCAGAAAGCTGCAGATGATCAGCGCGGAAGAGATAGAAGAGGTGAGTTTTATCTGCTATTTCACTTACTTTAATCTATTTTATGCTAATTATTTGTTTATTCCAGGTACATGATGCTGTTCGGCAGATCCTGGATCAGGATTTTTCGGCCTTCCAGCGGAATGTCACCGAGTCCCAGGAGCAAGAAGAGCAGCCGGCTGCTGGGTCGCCCGCAAAGAGGCGCAGGGTCGACACGGGGTACGAGAGGTGGGCCGAGAAGCCTGACGAGGAGGCCGAAGAGGAGGACGAGCTGACGTACTATATCAAGTGGGGGCCGCCAACTATCGGCGTGGCCTCTAATTTGTTCGAGTATTGGAAGCAAGAAGTAAGTTTTCCCTTTACTATATTTATATAGTATATAGTAATTTTCAGGACCACATTTCAATCACATCTGATAAAAACATCGACAAATTTCTGATGTTTGATTTTGTTTTGTCATCGGACAGATGTTTTATTTCTCACTGGATACATCCCGAGAGTAATCTACTTTTCTTTTCCTTACTCGATTCCCCTGTAGAAATGTAATTCATCAACTACTATTTGCTATGTTGATGTTTAACTTGGTGCAAATAGCTACCAGGGCTGGCAAAAAGAATTAAATCTTATTTTAAAATTAGCCCTTGCGAGAGCAAAATATTTTGCCCGGACAAACTATTTTGCCCTAGGGCAAAATCATAAAGCCCTTTCGAAATTGGTCCTCAAAGGGCTAAACCTTATAATAATAATTTTACCCTGGGCAAATTTCTGGGGCAAAAAT